GGATGGATGGATGGATGGATGCAAAGTCTGCTGTAAGATTATTCAGCCACAATACTAGTGAGCATATTTTTTACGATAACCGCTGACTATTAATGAGCCCACTATTTCCAATATCATCAGTGGCCTAGTAACGCTCACACATGCGCAAAAGAAAAGGTGACGGTTGGGGGCAGAGTCTCCTTTTCCTCGYGAATGCCGATCCAGCAAAAGAAAAAGAAAAGGAGACTCAGTCAGCAGGGAAATGTAAATCTAGGATCAAGGGASAACGTACTGAATTTGTCTTTCAACTTTATTCTATCGCTTTTTTTAACTATTAATTACAGCGTACTACTTGGTCAGTGGTTAGTTGTACTACAACAAGCAAATCACATGTAAAGTAGTCATTTACTAACTTGGATAAAACAGCAAACACGCATATACTCGAACCACTCTAATTGCAAAACGGTTTAATACTATATGTTTTTATTGCTTAAACGTAATCATTGAAGATTATATCATGCCAGGGGAAATTTGACTTCATTGTATGTGGATAATGAATAACTTTGTTGCATGTTGCATGTTGCATGTTGCATTCAAAGTAAACATTCGACCAGCTCAAAAAGCAAGGTTCCGTATGATATAGCGTTAAAAGTAAATATTGCTATGTTTCCAACTGCTATTCTTATTTTAAAGGAAAAGGTTTGATCAACTTCGCGGCGTCCCTCATTGCCTGAATTAGGATGGACATCTCAAACTTGAGACGACGACGCTTTTCACTTGGTTTAAGTTTCTTCATCGAAAAAACTTTTTTTATGTTACGGAAAYTATCTTTGTAAATCAGCTTTCTGTCCGTCGGTGAGTAGGACTTTGCAAACAGTTTTTGCGACTCGCTTRACTGATCGAGGAGAATGCTGCTAAGGGCATTTTGATTAAAAAATACTTTTTCTAGTTTTGACATTTGGTCATTGAAAATGCGCAAATTCAAAGGATTTATCTGCAGGCCTCTTAGCTTTTGTTATGCAGACTCAAACCTTTTCGTCATGTTGACAAACTCTTCCGTTGCCTTCTCTAGATAAGCGATTTGTAAAGGGTTGAGTAGGCTTGTGTACGATGATTGCGAAAGAGTAATGAAGGCTTTTTGAACCGATTGTGCAAATCGTGAAACACTAAATGGTAAGATCTCAGAATCTGATAGATCGATAAGCATACCCCCCAAAAATTGCCCCATTACTTTAAAGAAAACAAATGTTGGATCGGCAAACTTTTTGATCCAATCAAAAATGTCGTATTGAGTGTGATAAAGAGGGTAGAGCTTTAGTGCATTTTTGTGTCCTAAGAAATAGTTAAAATCTGCTGACGTAAGACCTGTTAAAAAAGTGAAGCCATAGTTGTCCGAGACATAATCTAGGTTGTAAATATGTGGTTCGCCTGGGTAATCCTTCGATCTTGGCAATCGTTCAAGCATGGTATCAAATAGTGTTCTTGAACAATTGTTTGGATCTTGGATTTGCTTAGCATGGTTAAAAACAAGGTCGGCCAGCATATGGCTTGACTGAGCCAATAAAACAAAGTTTCCACCAACAGTTACGTCGGTATTTAAATAAGCTACACCTCTTTCCCTAATCATATTCTCATTTTCTTGCGCCCATTCATACGACCCTAGCATTCCAACTTCCTCAGCTGCCCAACTGCATAGCTTTATCGTTCTTCTTGGTCTYCAACCTTTCTCCATGAGCTTTGCCAATATTCTCGATATTTCCAAAAGTACTGTTGTCCCACTTGTAGGATCTGCGGCGCCAAAAGACCAGCTGTCTCTATGGTTACCAATCAGGACATATCGGTCAGGTTCTTCTGAGCCAGGGATCGTTGCGATGACATTACGTATCTTCTTAGTAACGTACTGATTGTTGACTTCAAGTCTGACAACTGGAGCTGGATTCTTATTGGTTGTGTTTAAACCTGGTCCAAGTCTGTAATCTACTTTCAAAATGCCCCTCATTCTGGCTGGYGCTACTTCTCCTGTAAGGTAAGATTGGTATATTATTTTTTTATCTACGTATTTGAGGGGCTTCACGAGCTGTAGATAAATAGATAGATATGAATAGCTTTACTTAGTAAAATCTTTGCTGCCCCCAGGCCGGCAAGTCTGACAACAGGAGCTGGATTCTTACTGGTTGAATCTGGTCCAAATCTGTAAGCTTTTCATAAATTGTGGTACTTTTTCTCCTGTAGTTTCAAACATTTGATTAAGGTAATGTTATGGGATGGACCGCTCTCGGTAGAGCTACTCGGGATCTTTATTCCACTTTCTCTTCTTCTGACTAAAACTAATTACATGAGCTCTATTTATAATAACTTCATGACAGGTGTCATTCTACAATCAATATGATATAATCGCTGTGACTTGATTGGCTAATGGAAATAGTAAATTCCTGAGTGTGATATCTTATTAAGAATAATACGAGTGAAAATCTTAGAACTAAACATAACTTAAACCAAAGATAATATGTGAATATATGGTAAATGTATAGAAAGGTCTACGAGGAATATATATATCATAAGATTTAAAAGAATAGTGCTAAAATAACTAAGCAAAGGGGGAAAGAGTGTTTAGGGTGTAACCAKAGGTGTACATGCTAATGGGAGGAGCTAAGTRGTTTACTTGTAAATTCAAAGCATACCATCATCTAAACTCGTGCGTGATGGCAGCCATACTGAAATCTTATATCGATATTTTCAATAACTAATTGATCGTTCTTTATCTTGTTTTCATACGATAAGAAATAGTAATTAGAAAACTGATGTCTAGCTTAGTCTGTAAAAACATTAATTTTCTCTCTCATAACAGTAACTCTGATAAGTTATTTTGTTGAATTTGATAAAAAGTTTACGTTTCCTTTTGCAATATTGCAATGCACTGTTAAGATAAGGCATAAATAGAAATTACGTTCAAACACAATGATCAGTGAGATTTATAAAGCCCTGAAATTGCAACTGTTAACAGTTTTGCTAAATTTTTGAGATGGTCCCGCTTTACAATCGCATAAATAAGTCCAGACAGAAATACAAATGTAAAAATTCACTACYCATTAAAAAGTCAAGAGGCAGTGCAGGACTCATTCATGTTTTCCTTTCATTAGTATTGACCTCACCTGTCATCCTACTCAGCAAATAACGAGCATCCTCGTAGGATATCCCTTGAACTGGGACCAATTCTGCTAGATTACTCTCGTTAAAGGGCACGCGCATCATTCCACAAGTTGAGGGTAGCAGRGGAGTGAGGCGTTCGCCGATATTGGAGTCTACAATTATGGAGTGAACTGCATCGGGTGGCATCCAAATGGTATTTGGGTAGRTGTCGTTAAAAGTGTGCCCCTCAGGTGCTGCAAAATAAGGATCGTGAAAAATAATGAAGCCAGCCGCACCTTTTTCTATTAGAAGCTCCATCTGAAAAAAAAAAAAAGAAATATAAAAAGGGAATATAGAYGTATTTGTTAAGCCCTTGAAGAATGCAATATAATAGTTTCTACAAAGTTTTCTCTCAATCTTTCGATGGAATRGAGTACGCAAGTAAATGATTTAATGGACATGTGAGTAGTTGAATGGACGGACGGTCACRTAAATGGATATTTCGATGTATTGGCAGGTAAATGAGTGGATGTTAAATAGATCGATAGRCTGATGCATGCATTGATGATAGATGGATGGGGCAGGATGGATGGCCGTGGCCTTTATCATATGATGGTTTGATGAATGGGATCAATGCATGTTTTGATCGATGGGTGGACGAATGGGCAGATAGAATCAATAGTTTTTATACCATTTTTATGTTTAGTGGTTAACTGTTGATGGCTGGATAGGAGGATATCATCTCGATGAATGGAGTGGACGTTTGGGTCGTTTGGTAGATCGATAAATATAGTGAATAGAGAGGTTTCTACCATTATCGTTGAAGAGCGACCCATTTGATGCCTAGTTTACCTGCTAGCATTTCAACCGCCGTCAATCAATCAAATGATCAAAGATTTTACATCTGAAGGACTACAATCTTAAACTCTTATGAAATGCTAGAAGACGAACGAGATATCAAACTTTGCGGGTTGCACTTTAACGACAGTTTTGTAGTAAYGTATTGATAAGCAGATATGCAATGTCTCTTACTGGTGCAAACAAGTTTGACAACATTACAATCTTTCCTTTCAGCGATATGTTACGTTTTTCCAGTTCGAAGTAGCTGGCATTATCTCCCATTTCAGCGTAAACCAGTTCTCCCTCTACAGTGCCACTTGGAGAAAAAGCAAAGTACGGTGTGTATTTGTATGTCGTTTTACCTCCCGGTCTAGATGTTACCTGTTGGTGTTGGAAAAGAGTTTTCAAAACTATACTGTAAAACCTCAAAGAGAAGACCCGAATTAAGGTCCTTCTGAAAAATGACCTCAAAAAAAAT